TGTGTATATATATATATATATATTATATATATCTATGAACCAGGAGGTTAGAGTCTTGATCCCCAGAGTAGAGCATGCAGGAGGCAACTGATCAATGATTCTCTCTCATCATTGATGTTTCTATCTCCCTCTTCCTCTCAATTCCTCTCTGAAATCAATAAAAAATATTTTAAAAAATTGTAAATTAAAAGAAATTTATTTTAATGTTTGGCTTAAGGCTGTATAAAGATCAGATTTACAGCATTTTTCAGTTCTCATGATATAATATATGATGATTTCAAGCTTCCAATGGATTAAAAAGCAGCTAACACAACTGCTAAAAATTCAATAATCAGTTACTGCAATCTGACAGGTGCAGCTCCAGGAGACCACTACACTGCTCAATGATATGGTTATATTTCCTTCTGTCTCACTTCTTAGTAAGAATTTGATTTTTGATCATGGCATATATTTCCAAATGCCTCTTATATCTCATCCCTGTATCTCTACTGATGTCAGTAATATTCTGGCAGATCAGAAGGATAGGCTATATGATACTCATTTTATGAAGATGAAGAAACTAAGTCCCAGGAAAGTGATATGATTCAACCTGAATAATATTATAAGTAACTGTTAACATCATTTAATAAGTTATTTGTTTTATTTTCCATAAATATAACTGATTTTCCACAAATTCAACTTGTAGAATTTCTAAAAATATTTTAAAACAATAAAAATATTTATATCTAAAGACTTTAGTTAACAGTAATACGTATATATTTAATATATATGTATGTTTCATACTATTTCAACAATTATATATAGTATTCTACCCTACTTTTTAATTTATACAAGATCAGCATTTTTTCTGTGTTATTATAGATGCCTGGAAACTATTTTTAATGCCTGCATAATATTGCAATGAGTTGACTCACTATAATTTACTTACTAACTTTCCTGGTTTTAAACATTTAGGTTGATATGAGTTTCTGTCATTATCAATTACCATATAATCAACATCTTTGTATAAAAAGACTTTTCTAAAATATAGGTCTTTTTTAATTGTTTAAAACTTAGAACAGTATTACCAAGACTAGGACTCAAATTTTTAGATTCCTATTCCTAATCTTTTTCCATTACATTTGCCAACTCTTAAAATAATAAACCACATGGGCATTTTATTATAATCTAATGCCATTCTAAGTTTTCATGTAAGTGCTCAGGTTTTCTTAGTCATCCCTAACCAATGGTGGAAAGGGAGCACCTTGAAACCTAACACAAATGCAAACATAGCTTTCAGTACTATTACTTTATAGGAAGATATTCAAGGAAATTGAATAACATTAATTGGTAATAACATTATATTGATTAAAATAAAACTGATTAGAGTAAGAGTGGAGTATGCCAATTTGTTTCTGTGGGCTTTGGTTTTATCTTCCCAGTGTTTACAAAAGGGCTGTCTTTTGTTCTGCCTTTAAAGTTGTCTACCTGAGTCTTCATTTTGGCCTCATAACTCAGGAGTTGAATGACCAACTTGTCTTGTTTTTCCCAGAGAATTCACAATTTTAAATTAAAGTTTAAATCTCCATATCCCATGAAACACAATAGTTCCAGGCAAACCAGGAGGGTTGGTCAGGAGTGGATACTGACTCAAGAGTCATCCACAACTCATCTCGCTCTTTTACCCTTCACATCTATTCAATTACAAAGTTAGGTTGATTTAATCTGCTGTCAATGCTCAAATCCACCCAACTTGTTTTAATCTTTACTATTACCACCTCTAAAATTTGGTCCAATCTACTAATGAACAAATTAATCAGTAAATTCATTTCAGACCTACCAAAGATCACACAGCTGCTTCCTGCTTGCCCTCTTCCTCCATCCTCCCAAGCACAATAAATGGCAGGAATAGTACTTGAAATTCTGATGTCTTTGGCATAATGCTGCCCCTTACTATGTAAATGCCATGGGCTTAGTTTCTGTATAGTGAGGATACAAATACCAGTCATTTTGTAATGCCAGTTCTCAGGAGTGCCTAGTAGCAATTTCAGCTTTTGACAATGTTAAAAAATATTAATGACTTATAGTTGCAGAAACTTGATGCTACGGAATCTTAACAACCAGTAATTTTTTAAAAGACTAATATGTAAACAGAAGTAGAGTGGACTAAAATGGGCAGAAAACTTTTGAATCTTTCAGCTTCTCCAATTTGCTGCTGGGTTCTGATGTTAGCTCCTTAAGGCAGAACAGTCTAGAATGACCATATACTTGCATAATGGCTTTATTTTTGCATAATGGCTTCTTTTGCTCATTTGCTTTCCACAACTAATTGATAAAGTCTGGAGGCATCTTTGCTTGGGATCAGTCACAATTCTCTTGGATAGGTGAAGAATAATGTTATTTCACCTTGAAAAGGTAAGGAAAGTTTGTTTTCCAATTAGGAATATATTTCATCCAGGAAATTTGGGGTTTTTAATGTTTGTCATGAGGTAAAAAATTTCCCATGGCCTATGTGAATATTAAAATAGGCAATGCCCCTAGACCAGCAAAGTATCAGCTACTTCCCTTTGTTATGATGGTCACTTGGATATTGGAGAAATTGGAATTAGGGAGACAATACAGAAGATATTCTAACATGGGAATCTGTAAGGTTATTAGTCATCCTACATTTTGATGAATACCTTAAGGTCAGTAAAATTTAATATTCTGAGGGTCAGTCACATACATTTCTTTATGTTATCCTGAAAACATTAAGGATGATGATTACTGGAAGACAGGTTCTAGTACAGGTCATCCACATAAGGAATGGTAGCAAGTCCTAGGCAGTAAGTACCAAAGGGGTAGAAATAAACTTTAAAACAAACCAGTAGCAAAGACAGTAATAGACTGCAGAGATCAGTTAATAAAATTCTAAAATTAAAGTTCCATTTGGAAACGTATCTTTTCTGTCATATTCATACAATAGCTCAAATTTCTAGAATAATGTGTGGCATATTAAAGGTACTCAATAGTCTTATTAAGTAAACAAATATTTAAGTATCGGCTTAGGGGCAGGTGACTATGAAGGAAGCTTTGTATCTAAGGTTTGGGATGGTAAAGTAAAAAATAGGATTAAACATATCAACAACTTGATTTGCTCTGGTCCCTTATGCCTTACAGGATTGATAAACTACAATAAACTCAGTTCTAAAGCTTTCATGTCTTTCAGACCAGGAGATAAACCCCATGACTAGATAATGGTGGCTAGCTTTCAATGTTGAATAAGAACACTAACTTAATTCTAAGGCATTGTAAATGCAAGGACGCATTAATATTTCAAAATCTTGTCAAAAGCCCTGACAGAGAAGACCCAAATGATAGTCCATGAGAAACAAAACAAAATGAAATTAAATAATTAAAGCTTAAGGATTTTCAAAAAGCACAGAAAAAGATTCCAGAACGGAACACTTGAGAAAACAGGAGGGTGACTACTGTTGCTGTGTGAGATCCCAGCACAGAGACAGTAAAAGAAGTGCAATGTTATTTTGAAGGCCCTGGTGAGCATATCAACAGTGATGTTCTTTAGTTGGCAAGGTTTGAAGTACACATCAGCACATATGCCTTATAGGGACAGGTGTGCTTTTGTTATCCACATAGGTTGACTTCAGAGACTCAAAGCAAAGGCCTATCCCTTGTCCAGAGCCCACTGTCAAAAAGGAATTAAGTGCACAGCAGTCTAATACACTTAATACAGCAAAGCAAAAAAAAAAAAAACAGGCCCAGGAAGATGTTTTATCTTTTAATAAACAGTTTTCATTATCATCATCAAATGCCTGCATTTTTGCAAACCTGAGCTTCTCAGCCCAGCATTTACAAAAAATTGTCAACTATCGTTTATAGATAAAAGCACAATTCAATATTTATGAATTGCTGGTTTTCTATAAATATAGACATTTGGAGATGATCTCACTAGTCATTAAATTTTGAATAGGGATCAAAGCTAGAATAATATTAACAATTCCTTGCATTTGTATCGTGTTTACATAATACTATTAATAATAGATGAAATTTACTGAGCACTTAGCAAGTGCCAGGCACTTTACATGTAAATTTGCATAATGAATTCAGTTCAGTTCAGGAAACATTCACTTAGCACCTACTGTGTGACAGATGAATAACATTTTGTTTTTGTCTTTAAAATCCCTTGTTTTGGTATACTCAATCAGTAGTTGTTGAATGAGTAAATGAGTGGATGGATGAACAAAATAATTGGTTTGAATGGCACTGTGGGCTAATAAAAATAACAAAGGCTCCTTATTATCTATCATCTTTAGAAAGTACTTAACCTTTCCTAGACTCAATTTCTTCATCTGTAATATAAGGGATATTTAAATTCTCTCTTGCAAAAATGTTGTGAGAATAGTAACAGCAAATGTAAAAGGTCTGACTAAGAATGGGCTCTAAGTAAGTGAGAGTAGTTATTATCTTCCATATTATCATTATTACTGGGCAATCCTATCCAGCTCTCATCCTCATTAGAGCAAATAGAACTTTAAGATGCACAAAAACACAACTTTCACATACACACAGACACACACACACACACACACACACTCCAAAACAAACAAACAAGAAAAGCAAAAAATATATACTAAAATGTAGTTCTCATTATCCTCCTAGGTTACTGAACAACATCTATGCCCAGGCTAAAAAAACATAGAATCAACTTTAAGTAAAGTTTCCAAAGATATCGGGATAAAAAACAAGCAGGATATAAAGTTAATCAAATAACAGACCACACCTTTCTTCAAAGTGTTGGTCAATCTAAACATGAGACCATGTTCTCCATCCCAACGTCCTCAAAAAACAATACCTGGAGCCATCCAGAAATTCATATTATTCTTCTAACCAATAGCCATCCAAAAACTCATCTTATTCTTCCTAGTGCCAGTGAGGCTAAGCCCTATCCATATAGCAGATGAACTTGAGCTCTGGGTCAAATTCTCCAACCAGAAATATGTCCCAATCAGTGGATCACTTACCATTTTGGTCTGCTGGTAGATTTCACCATAGGGGCCATTCCATCTCTATAAAGACTCTTGGTTTTGCTGAAGTTAACAATATTGAAAATAACTCTCTGAAAAAGAAAGAGAGGTTTATCAGAAGACTATGCTACATGCAAGTTGACACTTCCTGATAATACTGGAAAAAATAAGCAGGATTAAATGAATTCATATGGACTAACTGTAGAGTGAAGAAAAATGAAGCTCACAGAAACTCAATGTGATTGCTCCCGTTTAGCACAGTAGTTTACACCTCAGAATCTGGAACCTGGAAGCCTGAGTTTTAATGCCACTTTACACTCTCAAGTTGTATGACCTTGCCAAACTATTAAGTCTTTCTGTGTCTCAGTTTCCTCATCTGGAAAATGGAAATAATAATGGTATTTACTGATGAGGATGAAATAAGTTAATATGTGTACAGTTTTTGGACCCATACTTGGTACATAGTAAGTACTATATAAGTTTTGGACATTATTATTAACTAGAGGCCCATTGCATAAAATTTGTGTACTTGGGGGAAGGGTCCTTCAGCCTGGCCTGTGCCCTCTTGTAATCCGGGAGCCCTGCAATTGATTGCCCCACAGAGGAAGGCCCCACCCACTGCTGCTGGCTGGGTAGCCTGGGCCTCCCTCTTTGGGGCGATGGCGGGACCCCTTGACCAATCACATTACACCTGCCTTGGCAGTGGCAGTGCTGGGTCACCAGGTACCCACAACTTAGGAGGGACCTAGTGGTCAGAAGTCCAGCCCGTTCACCAGTCCCTGCCTACCAGAGCCTGCTGTGTGCCCAGCCTGGCTTTTGGTCATCCCTTTGGTCATTTTGGACTTTACAGACCCTGGCTTTTTATATATTAGGATTGTGCTGTCTCTCTAGACTGACCTAGAATTTGTATAGAAATGAATATTATTATTACAGTGACAGTCATGCATTTGAAGCTCAACAAACTAAAGACAGTAACAGTATAAAACTGAAGTTAAAAATTATGCAACTGCTCCATTCCCTTTTGACTAGAACTGCACCCCCTTTGTTATCCTTTGCTAGGCCTAGGGGTACTAGGCTCAACCCCAATTTTAGCACAATTTATAAGGGCATATGTACTTGGGTAAGCACCTTTTCTCTCTGGGTTTCCCCTTTAAAATGGGGGATAGGAGTGTTCTAGATGATTAAAGTTAAAAGAAATCAAGCCCTTGTTTTAATAAATAACTTTGTCATAACTGGGGAGAAGAGACTAGGAAAGAAAAGATAATTGGGTTTAAAAGACACTAAATGACCACTGAAAGAGTCCAAAGGACAAAGGATGAGGAGCAGAACAAGGAAAGCCAGAGTAGCTGCAGAAAGGGAAAGCTTTCAATGAGTCACCATAGTCTAGCTTTTCAATCCAGAGGCAGAGAAGGAAGCATCAAAATTCATATATTGTTTCCGTTAACAAATATTTATTGTGTGAGGTATAAAATATCAAGTACCAGGTGTTTTACACACTTTTTAAATGATTTAAATGTTCTCCTATAACTAGAGACGTGGAAGTGGAGGCTCAATAGTTTACTTGTTTAAAGTCATATAATAGATGGAGAGCTGCTATTGAATCCAGGGGATTAAAAAAAAAATGCTCATGATCTTGAGCTGCTCACTAAGGTTCCAAATTTCATAACTCTAACCAAGTATATTTTCCAAAATGAGGGCAAAGATAAATATAATAAAAATTTTTCAAGTCTTTATACTTTTTTTTTGAAAAGAGAAAATCTTAACCATTTCCTTTGACCTCATGTTTGGAACTACCATAAAATATTTTATTCTATAAAATAAGCTCTTAGGAATAACTCATGTTTTTCTTTCTCGTCAGAGTTCTAACCATTGACCGCATCTCCAGGCATTTCAGTTTCAGAACTCCCTGTTGTCATTAAATTAAGTCATCAAGAATGTCCAAGGCTATTCCATTATTAATAACCCGGACCTGTCTGTTGTCAGTTCAATTACTTCTCTCAGGCTCTTGACTATGGTCCGATTTAAGAAAATCAATATCAAGAGGCACAAATGGCCTTTGAACCTCACAAAGCTTAATCCCCCCTTTTTTCTTCTGAGATTCCAGGTGTCAGATCCAGTGAACCTGGAAGCCATATTGTAATTTCAGGATTAAATTAATGCTACATGCAGAGGGTGGGGGACATCTAATACAGAAATAATGTGCATATGTAAAGCTGAAATAAACAAATGAGAAAGTAAAACATTTATTGATCATTAATATCCTACACTGTGCCAGGAATAGTTCCCAGGTGTTTAATTTATATAGCATCTACATCCATAAACAAAAGTTATTTTAGCCCAACTTCAAACATGAGGAAGTTAAAGCTAATACACTAACTGGCTTGTCACTCTTCCCACTCTCCCTCACCCAGCAAAACACACACACACACACACACACACACACACACACACACACACACACACACACCAGAACTATTAACTGATAGAACTAGTATTTAAATCCTAGGTGCTCAGACTATAAAGATCACACTTTCTGTAACACTACAGGCAAAGAGAACACTATCTCAACAACATTCTTCACCCATGCATTTCTTCCTAAATTTCCAGCCTATTTAGGAAGGTTATCTGTGGTTGTGAGAGTCAAAGGTATTTGGAAGTAGGCAGTTAGGAAATCTTGTCTTTCCATATTTTACACTTAATTATCGGTTATTTGCTCAAAAAGCATACCAAGAAATGGAACCTATGAGGTACTGATAACAGCTATAAGAATAGCAAACAATTTCTGAGCACTTCCTAAGTACCAAAACTTGACAGATTCTTCTTCAATTTTCATGTATCAAAGAAGAAATAATGATAGAAATTTTTAAATATTTATAATAGGGCCCTCACGAGTGTTTCCCTCCCACAAAGGGTTATGGATTTGATTCCCCAACAAGGGCATGTTACCTAGGTTGCAGGTTTGATCCCCACCTCAGTGGCTATAGCAGGAGGCAACCAATTTCTCTCTCTCTCTCTCTCTCTCTCTCTCTCTCTCTGCTCCCCTCCCTTTCTCTCTCCCTCTCCCTTCCACTCTCTGTAAAAAACAATGGAAAAAAGTATCCTCTAGTGAGGATTAAATATATGTCCCAGTCGGTAGGACTCAGTGGTTGTGCCTCAACCCATGAAATAAGAGGTCATAGGTTTGATTCCTGGTCAGGGCACATGCCCAGATTTTGGGCTTGATCCCACAATGATTCCCATAAATGATTCTCTCTCATCAATGTTTATATCTCTCTCCCTTTCTCTTCCTTTCTCTAAAAATCAATACAAGTTTTCAAGTCCCTGGGTTTCCAAAGTCCCTTAGTCCAGTTATAGAAAAAGTATAGCTGGGGTTTCAGTAGAGCTAAAAAGCAAAACCAGTATCCAGAATATCTATTCCATATTGAAGTTGGGTCCAATTCAGCATCAGACTAGTTTTAGTCCATTGGAATATTTTGTGTGGGTTTCACATGGCCAAAGGGGCAGAGGTTATAGGCTTGGGAAGTAGTTGAGCCTGCAATTGGAGGGGTTGGGAATCCCCTTACCAAGCCTCAAGCCTGGGGCAGAGGCTTTAGGCTTGGGCAGCGGCCGAGCCTGGGACCAGAGGGAAGGGCAAAAAAAATCAATGGAAACATATTCTCAGGCAAGGAAAAAAAGAAAAAGAAAGAAAGAAATGTCATATCCTATGAAAGACGCATCTTGAAAATGCTTAAAGAAAGTTGCCATTTTTTCATGGTGAAGGAACTGGAGGCCATGTTGATGAAAATACCTTGGCAACTGTGGTGATTGGCAGTGGCTGCAGCAGCGGGGTGATGTGTCTGGCACCTTCCCTTGATTAGCCTGGTTGCCTCCTGCAAAGGGAGGCCAGATTGTGGCTTAGGTCCGCTTCCAACAGGGAGTGGGCTAAGCCATCAGTAGGACATCCCCTGAGGGCTACCAGTATGTGAGAGGGGGCAGGCTGGGCTGAGGGACCCCTCTTCAGTGCACGAATTTCATACACTGGGCCCCTAGTCCTATATAATAAAACCCTAATATGTAAGTTGACTGAACAGTGGAATGACCAGTCTCTATGATGTGCACTGACCACCAGGGGGCAGATGCTCGATGCAAGAGCTTCCCCCTGGTAGTCAGTGCTCTCCCATCCAGAAGCCGAGTTCATGGCTGGCAAGTGCAGCAGCGTTGGCATGAGCCTATCCTGCCTCCGCAGCAGCAGTTGAACATCGCCCAGGCGTTCTGGACTGTGAGAGGGCACAGGCTGGGCTGAGGGACAGTCCCCTCCCCCATGCATAAATGTTGTGCACCAGGCCTCTAGTCTATTATAAGCTGATATCAAGCAGTCACAGGGAAGCAACAGTTTATTAATCAGCTCCACCTGTGTCTTGCTAACTAGAAATTATGAAACTCTTCGTGTAAATATTGCAGTCTGATAGAGATAATAAAGGAATGGCTTACAAGTTCTCCTCCCCTTCACTGAAAGCTTGTTCTGAGAAGTCAGCAAAAAGAGGTAGAAAGAGAACGGAGCGAAACATTCTTATCAAGGGAAGTTTAGCATATCAAACAAGGGCATTAGCAACTTGACAGAATTAAAGCAGATTTTTCAAAAAGATGTGTTCTTCTCCTTATAACTCAGAATAAATATCTACAAATATACAAACAAAATGCCTCTATTTCCCTCCATATTTAATTTTTTGAGGAAACTCCATAATGCTTTCCATAATGGCTGCACCTGTCTGCAATCCCACCAAGAGTATATTAGGGTTCACCTTTCTCCACATCCTCTCCAGAACTTGTCATTTATTGATAGTAGCCATTCTGACAGGTGTAAGGTGATACCTCGTTGTCATTTTAATTTTCATCTCCCTGATGTTCAATGACTTTGAGCATTTTTTCATATGTCTCATGGCTGTCTGTATATACCCTTGGAGAGTATCTCTTTAGGTCCTTTGCCCATTTTTAATTGATTTTTTGTCTTCCTTTTATTAAGTTGTATGAGTTCCTTATATATTTTGGACATTAATACTTTATCAGATGTATCATTGCCAAATATGTTCTTCCATGCATTATGCTCTCTTTT